TTTTTTTTAATTGATTGAATTTGATGTCTGAATATGCTTAAGTCTGCTATAAGTGCCATCAACAAATTGTCTCTATTCTAATGACAAATCATTTTTAGTTGTTTTGTTTCGTTCGATGCTAATCTATAGAAAATAGAAAAATAGAAAGCAAATAACAAGAAAATGATAGCGATAAATAATTGAAATGCAATAATAACAAAAATCATTACGCGCAAATCAAATAGAAAATCGATAAACAAAAAGACAAAAACAAAAAAAATTTCCATTTAAGAGAATAGAAATCAATAATATTCTTAGTGGATTGATTTTTCCAATCAATTTTATTTTATTATTTGAAACAAAACGAAAGAAAAGAAATGAAACTATTTTTTTTTTGCTGTTTTGTTTGGTTTGGATTTCTTTCTGTTTTGTTCATAAAGGTAATTGAATTTTGCTTTTTTTTAAAAAAATCGAAATTATATTGAATTGAAAATGAAAATAAAGGATTGAAATTTTTTGTTGTTGTCTTTTTGCACTATGATTTAGAGAAAGCAACAACAACAACAACAAAACTATAAGTAAAAATAAATTTTTTAATGTTTTTTCAATTGAATCAAAACATATCAAATGAAAAATCAAATTGACATAATTACATTAAAAGTTGAATTGCTTTTAGGTTCTGTTTTTTTCCAGTTGACTGTTGTTGTTGTTATTGATTCCTATATTCTATATTTAGAAAAAAATTTATCTAGTACACATTATGTGTTTGATGATTCTTTTTTATTTTTTGTTTTCATATTCGTCTGTCATCTTAATTTCTTTATAACATATCAATTTGCAGAAAAATCATTTTTTTTTGAATGAAGGAAATAAAAGGACTAAACACTGATTAACAATTGAAAACAAAAATGTACATAGGAATTTTTGATTCCATTGAATTACTTGAATGACCTATACAAAATTAAATGAAAATGGCTTTTCGTGGGTTAAATGAATTAATGAGAAATTATTTTTTATTGTTTGCAAACGTAAACATTGGAATTTTTTTTTCTCGTTTGATCGGAATTCATTAGAAAGAATGTTTCTTTCGAAATTTTATTTTATTTATTTTTTTGTTATATTTTTTATTGTTTATTTATACTGATGAAATGTTTTGTACAAATCATCAGATTGTTCAGACATTCATACGTATTTATTTAGCAAAATTTTGATTGTTTGTTTTGTTTTGTGTAGGAAAAGGAAGCAAAATTTAAAAAAAAACAACAACAAAAAAAAACATCCAACAATAGTCACGTTTATCATTTCTGAAAACAGGATTGTGTACGACATAATAAGTCTCAGAATTTTGAATTTGATTTAAAAATTTTTTATTAAAATATTAGAAAAAGTATGGACAATTTCAGTTCATTTTTCACTCACTAAATCATCAGATATTTTGATCATTGATGGTAATTGTTGATGATGATTATGATGAAAATAATCATCTTGTGAATTGTGTTGATAATCTTGTTTAGCCATATTATTTAATGAAAATGCTGTTGATGAATGTAATGATGCAGGTGATGATGATGATGATAATGATAAGGATGATATTGTTCCCGGTGATGATGATGATGATGATACCGAATAATAATGATGATGAGCATTCAATTGATTATGATTAATTGTTGTTACTGATGTTGAAAGTGTTGGTATTGTTGTAATCATCATATAAAATTGATTTGTATCAGGTTTAGTCAACGATGATGAATATGTTGATGATATTGGTGAATTATTATTTATATTACAATTTTTTTCATTCATTGTTGCCATTTCAATTGTTTTATCATTTGTTGATGTTTATCATTTGAAATATTTATTATTGTAGTCATTGTTGCAGTTGGTATTGTTCCACCAATTGTTGTTGTATTGGTAATATTATCCGGATTTGTATCAGTAATTGGTATGCCCATTTCAACATGATCAATACTTTTTGAATCAAAACGTTTTAAACGATTACTATAACGTGGAAATAAGGACAATAAATTATGCTGAAGAATGACAACAAAAAAA